TGAATATTCAGGTTTTGAAGAATTTTTCAAATATAATTACCATCTGCTGAAGTACTTTATTATTATTGTCAACCTTATCGCTTTATTTTATGCAACCGTTTTCATAGGAATGCTTTCTTAAATATTTGTTCATTCAAATTTTTATATCTGAATTCAAAAATGTTGATTTGTGGATTAATTGAGTTCTACAAAGAAATCAATGGAGAAAAAACGATTTTCAACACTACCCCATCGGGGCTAAAATGCGGAACTCACATATCATGGATTACTTAGATACATACTAGCTCAATAGAGGATTTTATTTTCTTTAATAGAATAAGTTTCGGGTATGGGTGGTGCGGGTGATGTGGGTGTGGGGTGGCTGAGGGTGTGGGTGTTAGTCTTCTCTTAAACCACACACCCACACCCACACCCTGGTTCAGTGGATACTGAAACCTGATTGGTTTGGCAAACAAACATCCAAACTTTAAAGATATTTAAGCTGCGTATAACCTTTTCTTTCAGAAAAGGGAATAACTTAAACGAAAAGTGTAATTAAAAGACTTATATGTGGTCGAACGTTCACAAGAAGATGGTAAACGCAAAGCCAGCCGATAGTAGGCGAAAAACATGCGACGTATTTTTACTGCGAAATCTGTTTGTTTATCCAATATATAGGAAATCATTCGAAATAGAATATCATGTATTTCTAGAAAACATAAAGTCGATATTTATCCATGGAAACAGTCGAAACTCGTCGTATGAAATTTGGTATCTTTATGACACTCCAACCTCCGTCAATCATTTGTTACTTGGCTTCAATTCACTATATTTTAACTCATCGAGGTACAAGACAAGCACTTCATCATCATGGTCCATTGGTTCTGCTTTTCGTTGGATTATTTACTGTTATATTTGATCTCTCTATGATTCTTGATTTTTTACGCACGGGTTTTGTTACTCCAAGGAATGAAGGTTATTGCAGTATGTGGACTTTTCTCGATATGCTTCTCTATGCACTAACTTGTGTATTGATGCTGTGGATATCAATCGAGCGACACATTCTTATTTTTCATAATCAACAGTTACTCGACACAAAACGAAAACGTTTCTTTGTGCACTATTTTCCAATTGCTTTTATTTTTGGATATCTCATTGTGTTTTACGGATACAACGTCTTTTTTTATCCATGTAAAAACAATACGATTATCAAGTCGTAGTCTGTAGTGGTGCTTGTTTTGCTTTTGCCAATCCTATACTGGGTCTCTACGATCAATTTCCCAAATTCAGTCGTTCCATATTTACTGATCGTCATTGTAAATGTTGGATTATGGCTTCGTATTGTTTGTCAAAAGCACTATCGAATGAGACGAGCAGTTGACTGGCGACAGCATCGCAAAATAATTGTTCAGTTTGCTCCGGTATTAATTGTATATATGTTTGGTTATCTTACGTATGGATCTCTTGAATGTTATATTATGGTTCATGGCCCGACAGATCTTAGCATGACTATTCAACAAGTATATTTTTTATTTTTTTTATTTGGTTGCCTTATTGCATCCATTTGTCTGTCTGATTGGTATGCCTGAAATTTATCGAAAATGGCTTCCAAAACGACACCGACAAATTGTACCAACTACCATGCATCCAAGGAATAGAATGAGTAGAGTGGCTGCAGCTATGTTTTAATTTTGAAAATTTTCAATATTTAACTCTAGTAGCTCATAGAACCAAGACACTATTAGAAGCGTCAATTTACAGTTTATTTTATTTAAATAAAATAAAAATTTTGGGCTCAAAAATCATTTAAATTTAATGAATTGTTTGGATGGATACTCATCATTGCTATGAGGAAAATACGTGACTTTAACAGTAGTAAATACTAAATGAGAGGAGAACAAAGTATTTTAGGTTAATATTTGTTTATAATTGTCAAAGTTTCTCCTCCGATTATGCAGGATCCTTCATCTTTCTTCTACAAAATACTGGGATATTCGTAAAAATATATTTAATAGCACAAATCGTAGAAGAATGACTAGCATTAACTTTAAAAAACAAGAAGCATACTCAAATTTGACTTTAAATAATAGCAATCAAGTCAAAAACTATGTTTATCTACTAGCTTTCAAAATTTAACTAATTTGAATTTCAAACAATTTAATTTAAATTTAGTTAAATTAAAATGTGACACTCCTACTGCTCGTAGCTCGCATATACTATCGACACGAGGTACGACTGGCTTACACAAAATGTGTCAATATAAATTATCTAGTCTGTTTGCGACCTAAATTATTCGTTTTTTTTGTTAGATTCAGTTGCTGTTTCAATTTTTATGTATTAGATTGTTTCTTTTTGTAATAAAAACTATAGTTATATAGTGACAAGCATCGAAAAATTAATGTCACAACTGAGAATGTTAGAATCCAAGCAACCTTACGTCAACTAAAACAACCTATCTGTAAGAAATAATTGATATAATTTTTACAATAATATTATTATGTCTTGGTTTTATTTGCCTTTATTTGGAGAAGGTCCAGCTGAACGACGTAAACGTCTTCAAAACCTAATATCGTCTTTATATGATAATGAAATTGCAAAGGTATTACGTAAAAATGAAGAAGACGATGAAAGAGTTGAAGACACAAAAGAAGTAAAAACAAAAATATAATTTATTTTTATTTTTATTGACTTTTTGTTTTTAATTTTTTTTTAAGGGAGTAGCTTAGTATCATGAAGGGCTTGATGAATTACAAACAGCACGATGTTGGATTGCAGAATATTCCTTGTCAATGCAAAGGTAAGACATCTATGTTTGCATATAAATGCTATTTTTATTTATATTCTAGAGCTAAAGAACATATTGAAAAATTAAAAGAATATGTTGCTATACCCGAAGTATATCGAACAGCTAACATTCAAGGTTTATAACGTGAATTACGGGTAAATTTTTCTTTTTCGTCTTTTTATTCTAATAATTGTCTTTTCTAGGCCATAACATTACATTGCAGTCAATTGGATGACGATCGTCCTTTACCATATTGTGAATTTAGTCCAAATGGTCAAATGGCTGCTGTTTCTTCTTGGCATTTAGATTTTATTTTCCAAATTTACATAATTCTTTTTGAGAAAAACTATCAAATGTAGATTTTCAATTGAAGTCTTTTAAATAGAAAATATAATGTAAGAACAGGCATAGTTAAAGGGCAAAAATATAAATAATGTTTAAAACTTTCCGAAATCGAACATCGATAAGGTATTTTCCAGTAGCCGAAATAAATACAGTCTGTCCTTTTTAACGACTACAATGATATTTCGTAAGAGTTGAGGATAGAAGCTATGAGATTGTTGGCTTTTTGACTATAGCCAAAATTCAATATGCATATTTGAGATTAATTTCTGATTAAATTAATGAAAGGAAATTTCAATCTTTTCTTGAACGAATAAATGTCATGAAAAAGTTTAGAAAAAATTCAGCTTATCGATTATGGCTAATAGTTTGAGAGCTTACAAATAACATATATTAGCAGTCTTATTTATGATCAAGTGAAAATCGAAGGACATTATTTAATACAGAATTCGATTGTTTTCTATGAAATAATCGTATTTGAAAAATGTTCTTTTAGTTTCTTCGTTTGAATATATAAACTCAGTATTTAAACAATTCTCTTTTGTTTAATATTATTCTCGAAAAGTCTCTTTCCTATTGCAAGTTTGATAGGGTGTGGGTGTGGTTTAAGAGAAGACTACCACCCACACCCGAAACTTATTCTATTAAAGAAAAGAAAATCCTCTATTGAGCTAGTATTTATCTAAGTAATCCATGATATAAGAGTTCCGCACTTTGGGTGTGGGTGTTAGTCTTCTCTTAAACCACACCCACACCCTCTAGCTAGGCTCAACCATTTGGCCTGAAATTTTTATTGCAGGCTGTATAAGCATCCACAAATCTATGCTAGAACTTTCAGAGTTATAGCCGGTATAGAAATGGAGAAGCATATCATTCTATCTCTCTGAACTGGCAGCTCTGGAAAATCATCAGAGTATGGTAAATCGAAGTAACCTTTCTGTCAGAGGTAGCTCATTATCGGCATTCGCTATTGTGTTAAAAATATTACGTTTACTTCAAGAAATCGAAAATTAGCAGTATTTTCTTGATATATCACACAATTTCGCCAAAAATATTAAGAAAAAATTCTTGGTACGAACCTAATATCTCAGTCTGAGTAAGGGAAGCAGGACTCGAGCTCTTGCCTACGATCGGGACTCATTGAGTACTTGCTTTGGCACAAGTTCCAAAACAAGCAAACTTTATCTAAATAGTTTTCGAACAGGACCTGGACTTTTGTCCACTATTGTATCAATTATTCATGGATCACCAGGAACTGGTAAATAAAATTTCTTTATTAGAAAAACGAATAAAAATATTTGTAAAACGTAAAACAACAACAATAGTTGAATATATATTGCAAGAAGCATTAAAACATGATGCAAAAATTCTTTGTTGTGCTCCATCAAATATAGCAGTTGATAATTTTGTTGAACGTCTTGGAAGAAAAAAAGAATCTAAATTAATTCGTCTTGACCACTCTCTAAAAAAAATTAGTGCCATAGGGAACTATTAAAAGTTTTAGCGAAGTTTCAGAACCTTTTAAGGTTTCATTCGTTTATTACTAAACTGTCAAAAGGTTCTAGATGATTTTAAGAACCATGTGAAATGAAAAACTGGTTCCAGAGGTTTAGAAGGTTCTATCTTATACCATTTTTCTGCATAATGAACTGTGATAAATGAAAAATAGTTCCAGATATGTAGAAAAGTTTTCTGTTGCACCAATTTTTCCCATGGAGAACCATGAGTGATCAAAATTAGTTTTGTCTTACACCTGTTGTCTTTATAAAGATCTGTGGCAGGTAAAAAATGGTTTTAGAGATTTAAAAGAGTTCTATTTCGAACTAATTTTTAACTATAAAAAACCATTACTGGTAGAAAATGGTTCTGAAGATTTAGAAAAGTTCTGTCTTGCACCATTTTTTAAATAAAGAGTCATGACTGGTAGAAAATGGTTCCAAAGATTTAGAAGAGTTCTGTCTTGCACCAATTTTCTTTTAGTAAGAAGTTATGACTGATAGAAAAAGGTTCCAGAGATTTAGAAGAGTTCTGTCTTGCACCATTTTTTTTTAAATAAAGAACCATGACTGATTGAAAATGGTTCCAGAGATTCAGAATGGTTTTAATTTGCACCTTTTTTCTAATCAGAGTTTCTTCTATAAAAAAAAAGCTTTAGAACAAGNTTTTTCATTAATCATTAATATTAATGAATTAAGTTTTTCTCAGAAAACATTAAGCATTAATATTAATGGTTAATGAGAAACATTAACATTAATATAAAATTAATGTTAATGGCCCACCCCTAACCATGACTGATAGAAAATGGTTTCAGAGATTCAGAATGGTTTTAATTTGCACCTTTTTTCTAATCAGAGTTTCTTCTATAAAAAAAAAGCTTTAGAACAAGTTGCTTGAACCTGTTTTATTTCACTCGCTTATTAGCGATATATAAAACAACTTTTTATTGGATCATTGATATCTCGAATAACAATGCATTTATCGATTATTGTTAAATCGAAATAAGCTGCATATAATGTTTACATGGACGAGCGCTACCCACAACATGAATTATGTCGACGCTGCTACCATTGTATGTAGAAATTACATGTAGCTTAGCTCAACTTTATTGTTATTATATTGTTGTTTACCTTTTTCAAATAATGAATTTAGAATTGAATTGTATGTTATGGTATTTTCATACGTCTACGAGGGCATCCATGTTTTAGTCAACAAAATTTATTCTTGTTTTATTCCTATTCATCAACTTATACTTTTCGATATATTTTGATTACGCTCGTTTTGTTTTTGCTTGTTTCAGAGGAACCCAAAGTTATTTCTTAATTCATAAACCGATTGGTATTTAATTATAACAAAACAATGAATTTATATTATATGAATTGCGATGATGTATTAAAATGGTTATCAACATATATGTCGAATTCGGATGTAATCAGAAAATTCAAAGGTAATTAAAAAATGTGTCCACCTCACTTTTGCCCCCTCTGTCAAAATCATCAATCCTTTAGCGCATTTGTAAGTCTTTATAAACATATTCGTTCGATTCATCGAAATGATAAAACTTTTAATATTCGTTGTTCACTAAATCCTGGTTGTGGCTCGGTTTATACCACTTTTGAGAGCTACCGTAGCCACCTGAATCGGTATCATCGCGATTTGTTGAATGATTATAGTATACCAATTGATCACTCACTTAATATGACTGAACATCCATCTTCATTATTATTTTCAAATATGAATATCATTCAAGATAAAGAAGATGAACCTTTTGTTGAACAAGAAAATTCAGATGAAGATGAACTGGAGAAGTTCGAAGATATACGATCAAGTGAAAATAATATACCTTGGCCATTATCAACAGGTTTAATTAATGAAGAGGATGATATTGAACAATTTACAGTTAATTCATTTGAAAAGCATTATGTTCGTTTTCTGCTTGATCTACGTGAAGGTCATTTATTGCCACAAAGCATCATTAAATCAATCACAAATTATTTTACAGCAGTGCTAAATATATTATTTAAAATCATTCATCACCAAGCAACACAATCATCAAACAGTCTACTAATCCCATTAGCAGATATAGAAAAGTTGATATTACAAATAAAAACTTCAATGTGTAACATCACCAAAAATGAGCATCAATTTTCAAAACGTTGTGAAGAACATTTTGGATATGTAGCACCATGTGAAATTAAAATAAATGATCAAGGAGATTGTGGTTATTATGTTCCGATTGAGCGAAGCATTAAAAATTTATTAAATAAACCAGATGTTATCACTTATTTAATTGACAATTTAAATGATAATATAGTACAGACAAAGAAAGACCCCGACCTAATGTTGACATATCGTGATGGTACTGAAGCGAAAGATAATTCTTTACTAAAACTTAATCCTAATGTATTTTTAATTCAATTCTATTCAGATGGTATCGGAGTAACAAATCCAATTGGTCCTAAAAAGGACGAGCATAAACTTACATTGTACTATTTCGTTTTAGAAGATTTACCAGATGTTGTACGATCTATGTTACAATCAATTGGTCTTGTTGGAATATGTTGTACAAAATATTTATCATTAGAAACAAATCGTATAAAATACTTTGAGCCTATTGTAAATCATTTAAATCATTTACAAACTACAGGTCTGACTGTTCAATCATTCAATGGCCAGCTGCACTTTGTATTTAGCTTATTGGCAGGCGATAATCTTGCAGCACATGAGATTGGTGGTTTTCAACGCAATTTCAATTCCGGCCAATTCTGTCGTTTATGTCATATATCATATGAATTCAGGTTGACTCCATTAACAGATATTTCATTTTTACCGCGTAGAGTGACCACACATAACATGTATGTTCAACAAGCTGTAAAGTCATTTAATACGAAACCTGTTGCCGGTGTTGTGGGTGAAAGTCCTTTGTCACATTTAATTGGCTTTCATCCTATTAAATCATTGCCTAACGATCTGATGCATGATTTTGCTGAGGGTACACTCTGAAAAAAAATGGTGTTTCACGGAACTTAAAAAGGCTCTTTACCAAACCTAAAAAGGTTCTTCACCTGGATACAATCTAAGAACCTTTTTTGGTTTCGTAAAAAAGTAGGTTTCGTAGAAAACCATTTATGAGTAAACACATTTAAGGTTCTGTACCCGAGCAGACAAAATTTTCAAAAACACATTTAAACGCACGATCAGGAATCGCGACTATCATCCATTCACATTCATGAAAAAAACGCAAGAAGTGTCATTTTTTGGACAAAAAGAGCACTTTTGAAGTATGAAAACGGTGAAAAGGCGAAAAATTGGACGTTTAAACGTT